TCAAGAGTGATTCACCCACCAACTCAACAGATATTTGTTGAGCACCCATTACATGCCAGGCCCTGTGCTAGATATGTTGAACATCATGCCAGGCAAGGTGCTTTGTTTATTCTAGGGAGGGAAAGAAAGGTAAGAAAGTGAGCATGTGAATCATTAAGCAAGCTATTTCCAGCTAGTGGTAAGTGCTTTGGAGAAAATCTAGTCGGGGTTGACATGGGAAATGTCTGCTGTGGTGACGCCATTTTAGAAACGGTGGTCAGGGTGGGCTTTCCTTAGGAAGTGACATTGGATCTGTGACCTGAAGGGTGAGAGGGAGCCAGTCAGGCAATGATATGAAGAGCATTTGAGGCAGAGGGAGCACTAAGAGCAAAGGCCCTAAGGCAGTAGCAAACTTGGCTGAGGTAAGATTCAGGAAGGCTTGTGTGGCTGCCGCAGGGTTACAGGGAATGGAGCTGGAGATGGGGTGGCAAAGTAGGGCCTGGGCGGCCACAGATGTCATGTATCAGTGTGATCCAGAAAACCATCACAGTGTCAAAGAGAAGGATGGTCTGAAATGTTCCACAAGGATCACTCTGTGCCTCCTGAAAAGATGCACTGAGAAGGACATAACGTCATTCCTGAGGGGTCCCAACCCAAACTGCATAACCTGAGTCCAATCCAGAGGAAATGCCAGAAAATCCAATCGGAGGGCATCCTACAAAAGACTTGGCCTACAAAATAGTCTGCAGAAGTGTCAAGGTCACAAAACACGAAGACGGAGTTAATGCTTTGGATGCAAAGAAACAGAACAGACCTCACAGCTAAAGGTAACACCTAATCCCGAACGGATCCCCCACCAGATATAGGATAGAAGTGAGACAAGTAAGGGGCCATTCAGGTCTGCAGAGGACATAACAGGATTGCAGCAGAGTTAATTTCCTGATTTGGGTAATTCGGCAGTGGTGATGTAACAGAATGTCCTTGGTTTTAAGAAATGCACACTGAGAGGCATCCTGTGTGCTGTTTGCTCTCAAACATCCCAGAGAACAAAAATCCTACACGTATTTTAAAAATCATATATACGGTGAGACAAGTATTGAGAGAAGGAAGGAGAACTCATGTTAACATTTGGGGAACTAAGAGGTAATACTCCGGTAAAATTCCTTGTACTCTTTCTGCATTTTTTTTTTTTTTTTGTAATTCTGCTACTTCTTTGCCTGCAATATTGGAAACTACAGGTTAAGCAGGGGTGTGCAATCCCTGTCGGGTGGCAGACATGAGGAAGTACCTCTGTAAACTGCAAAGCCACAGCAATTGTTAGAGCTGGGGGGTTCGACATATTTCCCCTTGGCGCTCTTTATGGGAAGAAATTTTTTCAAAAATGCCAAAAGGTAGAAACACGGGTGCTCTCACCACCTAGAGTTACACAACGGTTAATATGTTGTCATATTTGCTTCAATTACCTTCTTTTAACAAAAGAAATGGAACCCTGTAAGTAGTCTTCTTTGACTGCCCACCTCCATCACACCCTAGCTGTCTACTCTCTTTCGAAACAGCAGCATCAGATTTCAGGCTACACACCCTTGCAGTCAATTCTTAGAAATTTACCTACATACGTCCAAGAATATGGTTTTGTGTCTATACAAGTTTACGTAAATGGTGTTCTACTATACGATCCCTATATACAACTATAGACTGTATGAAGGTATGATCACATCTTTCTTGAACTTGCTTCTCTTCTCATTATCCTTTGAGATCTAACCCTTTTGATACAGATGAACTCGCCTCCTTTTAGATGCTGTACAGTAGTACTCCAGTTAAATCAGTTAAATATTTGTATGTTTCCCTATCAATGGATATGTATGGAAGTTCTGTTTTTGTTATTATTGTGTTACAGGAAGCGCGACGATACTGTCTCTCTGTGCATATGGGTGAGCTTAACTCCAGGGAACCTCTCCAGAAATGAAAGCAGAGGGTCACCAGCTTTCAGCATTGATGTTTTACCAGTGCCACCAGTAGCGTGGAGGGTCTGCTGGTTTTCCTGAGGGTCCTTTGGGGCACTGGGACTCGAGTGCCCAGCAGGCAGATTCTCAGAAGTGTTGTGCCCAATTCACGTCACTTGTGTTCCCAACAGGCTCGCTTGCAAAGTGCACTCAGGACTAGGCGGCTAACTCCTCGGTCACTTGGGTTCTCTTCGCTCCGGGAAGAGTCCCCGCGGTGGAATCCTCTCTGAGCAACTGGACAATTCTGATGGGGCCATCGGCTGCCTGCTCTTGCTGCGAGTGTGGATGCTTGGCTTCCAGAGAGGACCAAGGAGAGGTGGGTTAAGGAGAATCTGTGGCTGTCTACACAAACGCCAAAAACCGGCCTTCGATTTAGGATAAGGGGTCGGAGGACTCCCTCCGGCCCACACCCTTGCTAAACGCCAACGGATGGTAATAACCATCAACACTGGTTGGGCCGGTGGCTTATCTCATTTTCTACCTATATTGACCCTCTGAGGTGGGTGTCCCCCCGCAGCATGTGAGTGCTGACTGCACAGATGGATCCCGTCTGCACTCCTTGACAGCTTAATCCCCTCCAGAGTCGGGAACCTAAACACTCATCGATTGGATCCACGTTTGTAACTAGGATAAGAGCTGCCAAAGTTGAAAACACAATTCATCATCCTGTTTGCAGGATACTGTCACCAAAGCCGCTGGCCGATTAGAAGCTTTAAGGAAAGGGTGGCTGGCTTTTCAAGGAGGGAAAATGCAAGTCTTTGCGTCCTTTATCCCCCCAGGAGGTCCTGGTTGAGGCCAGGGACACGGAGGTGGGGGGGGGACTGGAAACACAGGGAAGGGACAGGGGGTCGAGGGGAGCAAAAGAAGGGAGTGAATGAAAGGGGCGGGGGATGGGGAAGGGGG